TTAGTGTGCATATTACCATTAAGATTTTTGTCAGGGGTAATTAACACACAACGTCTATATGTTTCACTATTTTTATGGAAAACATCCATACATTCCTTTTTCTTTCTGTTTTTTTTCTTGCATTTTTATCGTTAATTATACATTTGAAAAGAAGAAGAAGAAAAATAGGAAAGAAAGAGTTTTTTTTCCTAATTCCTAATTTTTTAATAATTTGTTTGGAACTCATTTGAACTTTAAAAAAAAATGGGACTATGATTGCAATTAATTATTTATTTTTATTTTCTTTTATTTAAATAAGAGGATATATTCACAATATTACAGCTTTTTGTTGAGAAATTGGATGAAAAAAGATATTTTGCTCAATTAAATGTATAATTAACAGTTAAAATGTCAAAAAATGAAAAGTATGGACTTTTTCATAATAATAGTGAAAGGTGTGGACGTTAAGTGGTAATTACCATCAATAAATAAGTTGATTGATTAGATTTTGGACAGACATAGGTCTACTGTGAAGGGTGTGAACTACTCATGTTGTCATTTGTATTTGACTTGAAAATGGAAGTCTTCAAATTCGTTAGAAAATGTCACAATTTTATTTGAAAATTTAATTAGAGATATCTTTTATAAAAGATAAATTCTAATTTTCGTATGACGGAACTCTATATTAATTCTTTCAAAATCCCAAAAAAAAAAGGTAATTTCTTTCTCTAATTCTTCATAGAGACTAACCTGTTTATGTCCTCATCATTAATGCATAGACTTGGTCCAATTTATAGAAAACGAGTGGAACTCAATAAGAAAAATTGAATTATTCAAATGTAAGGAAATGTATATTTAAAAATTGAGAAAAAAACAAAAAAATCTAATCAACCTTAGTATTTCAACAAGAAATCGAATGGACCGTACGAAGTATTTCATTATTAAGTCGTTATAGACCTCAGTATGGTATCATTATTCCTTTTTTATTTTTATTTTTGTTTCTTTGGTTTTTTGGAGAAGAAAAAAAAATGTATTTGAAATGGATGTCTCTTTCTCCTTACCCACACGCAATAGAACATAATTTATGGCACCTAGTTATCAAATCAGGCTTTTTGTCAACCGAATTTCTAACATTCACACTGATTTACATGGTAGTGGAGAAAGGGTGCAAGTGTGAACAAATTCTTCTAAGAATCATTGAAAAGCATTGTTTTGAATAATTGGATCAATCAATGTGTTGAAAATTAGTCGAATAGATTAGATTTTGACTTGAAATTCGGTTTAATTATAGTCTTAAAATTATTTTTAGATAATCACGATATGACTTTACTCGAACCAGCACATAATATATTCAAAGTCCGAAAATTTCTATGTCAAAACTTGAAATTCTTTAACGAATGTTTATCATACAAATTCTATTTTGTAACATATAAAGGGATGGCAATGAGCCGACTCGACCCATGTACCCACGAGCTCGACTCTTGTTCAAGGGCCAAGCCAAGCCCACAAGCTCAATTTTTTTTCAAGCGACCAAATGGTCCTTTTTTCAAAACACAAAAGAAAAAGGGATCATTGATCACTTTTTTGACGGGTCCAAGCCGTCCATGGGTCGAGCCCCAATGAGCCTAGCCGACTAGCTACTCTGCCCTTTTACCACTTCTAAATATATAATTTCATCACTCAATAAATATTCTCATACCAAGTTACTGAATATTTCAACTATGATTATATTGGGACAAACAAATTAATATTTAGAAAATTCAACTAATTATGGCGAAAGCAAAATGTTCAATATGAAGAATAAAGGAGTTCTTCTCGCCCCTCTTAGAAACTCCATTAGAAAACGAGTGAATTATTCTTAGTCCATGGCCTAAGAAGAAATTAACTATGACCATAAAATAAGGGGGAAATTATTGCTGCGGTATCAAGCCTTTCATTTGTAGTAGATTTTGTTCAAACTTTTCATTTGTGCCATCCATGATACCAAATCTTTCAAAATGTTGCAGTTGAAGTCCAAATAAATGGTTTCTGTTAGTTTGACTATTATGTTAACTTATAGTTGATTATAACCTTAAAGTTTTAATTATAACAAATAAGTTAATCTTATTTATTAACAAGTTGAATTCAAGATATTATAGTTTTTCAAAGCATGCTTTGAAAAACTGATCGATAGTCGTTAAAAGATCAAAAGCTATCATAACAAATCGAACTCATGAAGGAAGTCAAAATTGAAGTCACACATTTAAGAACTTAAAAGCCAAACTTCGAAGCAAAATCAAATACTGGACTTATTAGATAGAATGTAAAGGTACTAACACTTTGATATTTGACAATGAATGCATAAACTCAAGATCCTTCTATGCATTAAAAACAATTTTGTGCATTAAAAGTCATTTTAATGCAATGATTTGATCAAATATAAAAATGACTTTTAGAAATGATATTTGATCTTGAAAAACATATTTGATCTTGAAAGTTAGTTAAAAATACTTTCCAAAAATCCATACCTTTCAAAACTTTCGAATTAGTACAAAGGAGCCAAAATGCATAAAAAAAACTACTAGGTGGTCGATGAGAAGTTTTCAACAGTTCAAAATTTGACTGTTTGGACGTCTAATTTTTACTGTACAAACGACTATGTTGGTCATTCGGACAAGAGGCGGTCAATCGAATGAGTCATCCGAATTCCCAAATTTTTTTGACGTTTTGAACTCCATATATACATTTCATGTTGAGGTCCCGTAAAACTCAACATTATATAAAGATCCGTGCTTCTTGTTTGTAAGTCAGTGAAATCGTTGTAAAGTGTTGGATTGCATCATAAGTCAATCAACATAGTAAAAATGCCTTATTCGTGTCAGATAGCTTCGTAACGAAGGACGTAGATCATTAATTTAGATCGAACATCCACAATTACATCGTTTATATCATCTCTCCCTCTTTTACTTCTCGCTTTCATATTTGTGTTTATTGTTTGAATTGATATATATAGTCTTTACTTGATTGAATTTAAATTAATTCTTAGAAAAAGTTTTTAAAAGCCAATTCACCCCCTATCTTGATTAGTTATCATTAGACTATCATGTTAGTTGAACGGTTTAACCAAATGTTGAATAATTTTTAAAGGGTTAAGGGGTAAATATACAATAATAACAATAATAATAATAATAACAACAACAACAACAACAACAATAAAAAAACCCAGCCCTTTCTTCCCCATTCCCTTACAATCCCCCATACCCCAAAGTCTTCGCCGCCACCACCACCTAGGCGATCGATCGCCACAGCCATATGTTAACTTATGTTTGATTATAACCTTAAAGTTTTAATTATAACAAACAAGTTAATCTTATTTATTAACAAGTTGAATTCAAGATATTATAGTTTTTCAAAGCATGAGATGGAAAATTGATCGATAGTCGTCAAAAGATCAAAAGCTATCATCACAAAGTTTAATTATTCATAGATTATAATTGTTTTTTTTTTTTTTTGTTGAAAAATGTAAAGCTATTATTTTATCCTTTTAAAATTAGTTAAAATTATGGTCAATTTTAATTATTTGTTCAACTAGAGGTCAAACTAAAAGAAATCATCCATTTGGATTTCAGTTGCGACATAATGTTGAGTATCATAGGTGATATAAACGAAAGATTTGGACAAAATCTGCTACTAAATGAAATGTTTGATACCGCGACTACAATTTTCCCTAAAATAAGACTCAATAGGCATAAATTGTCTTCTTAAAAGGTTGGAGGACTTGGATGTCAAGAAATCTAGGATCTAGATGCTATATTAGTTTAACAAAAACTAAACACAGATGCCTAGTAGATTATTTCTCTTGAAATAACTATATTAAATATTAATTTTTTAAAGTATTAAATATTAAATGAGTTAACATATAATTGCCATAAAAATTGTTAAGAATCGAGGGTAAAATTGGTAAGTCATTACTTTTGTTCTCAATTAGGAACGCGAAAAAAAAAAAAAAAATTCCGGGCAGGAAATTAGAGAGTTTTAAATATTAAAGAAAATTGTGGAAGAAAAATAATTAATTAAATTATGTGTCTGTAATAGATGGAGAATAAAATATTGAAAACAAAAAGTTACGTGAGCAACATAAGTATTGACGTATTTAACTTTTATTAAGCAAGAACTAGATATCGAAATTGGAGAGATTTAAATACTGAAAAAAATACGTAAGAAAAATAATAAATTAAATTATGGGTATGTAATAGAGAGAAAATAAACTATTAAAACAAAAAATTACGTGAGCAACATAATTATTGACGTATTTTAACCTTTTTAAGCAAGAAATACGTGAAGATGTTTACAATTTCAAAGAAACATATGCCTGATCTTGTAGGGAATGTCCAAAGCGTCTATGAAACATCCAAAGAATTTTGTGAATGTTGATATATTCACGTGTAAAATTAATTTATTAGAAAAATGTGTATTTAAAATGAGTTCGAAAGGAAAAAATATGAATAAATTAAAATCAAATAATAGAGTGTCGTGTACTATTATGTAACCCATTATATAACAACCGATGTATATGTAGCAAGATCATTTATCTTTTGAGAAGCACTTGACTTGGGACAAGAGGATTTTATGTTATAGGGTCGAGGATTTTGGAGGAACGGGATTAAAATAACTATATTTATCATCCCATTTAATTAAATAGAAATACGATGAACACGTTTTCAGTTCCTACCTGAACAATAAATGACATGAATTTTGCCATCATGGTCTTAAAATCAAGAAGTGGGTTGTGTTTGGATCTAGTGATCATTTGGTCAAGAAGTAAATTCTTTCAATGCTTTGACAAACGTTCATCCTATGTGAAGCCAAGACCGTTTACCAAATCGAATGACATGACATAGCGGTCAAGTTATAAACTTCCTCAAACAAAGAGAGAAGAGTGAAAATTTCTACCATTTTTTCCCTCTTCAATTCCCACTTTTCTTCACACGCTTCCCATTATCTATATATTCAAGCCCAGATACCCAAATGAAGTTTGAGAAATGAGTAACGAAGGAATTGTACAGAGGGCTCTTAGCAGCCTTGGTAAAGGAATCGATTTAACCTTCGATTTTCGAATCAAATATTGTAAAGGAGATGATAGACTCATTTTGCTTAATGAAACGGATACAAGAGAGCTTTCAGTTCCGGGTTTTGGAACATTCAAAGACGTTTCTGTTGACATCAAATGCGATAAAGGTGAACGCACGCGATATCAATCTGATATCCTCGATTTCAATCAGGTAGCAAGCATTCAGTTTGGGTTTGGGATCGAATCTTTTCAATAATCACGAGGATTGAATTTTATTGTCATTGGTGCAGATGTCGGAATTCTTCAACCAGAAATGTTCGGTGCCTGGGAAAATTCCATCGGGTTTTTTCAATTCATTGTTCGGTTTTCAGAGTGGATCATGGGCTACAGATGCAGCAAATACCAAGCATTTAGGGCTCGATGGTTATTTCATTGTGCTTTTCAACGTTCATATCGATCGATTTCCACTCATTCTCGCCGACCATGTACGAAATGCCGTTCCTTCTACTTGGGATCCATCGGCTCTTGCCAGGTAATATCTACTAAAAAGTTTAGTGCCTTGATGGGAATAAAATATAATTTATTTACTTAACAGAGATTTCTAAGGTTCAATGAATGATCAATAATTTTAACTAAGCACCTGTTTTAAAATTATATTAAGTACCTGTTTAGTAGCAATTTTCCATCAGTAATGCTATTCATTCTCACTGGGGTTACAAACACAATTTAGGTGACGTTAATGTGTCATCACCTTTTCCAGCCTTCATTTTTGAGTCTTTGACCCACCCTCTCAGAGGTGGGCCCCAAAGTACAAAGCAACGGTCATTTTTCCTCCTAAAAATTGATGAAAATGGTTTCTAGACACAGCCTAAGTTTTTTTAATTGTATAAACTTTAGAAAAATGCTGGTGTGCGGGGGCCCGCGGGGGGTGGTGTAAGAGGAAGGTTATGACAATGTCTTAGATTAAAAAGTTAAAACGCGTATTTTTTTCTTTCTTTTTATGACAAGTAGTAGTGAGTTGATAAGCACAAAGCGATTACTTGAAATATTTTGTGATATGAATGTCAATTAATCAATATTTATCCATTCAGGATACGGCTGGTTACAAACTAGTGAATTTTGAAACTGAAATGGAAGTTAATCCAATTGAAATTTCCCGAAAGTTGTACGGTCACACATGAAGTTTACCATAATTATATATCTTGAAATTTTATGTCATCGTTTGAATAAAAATGGTAGAGCTACCGAATACGGACGACTTGCAGAATTATATATAGAAAAGTATTAGGTGGGAGCCATTTTCTTGATTGGAGCTGCCCGACTTCAAAATCATAATCTGTATCAGATGTCAACGGTTAACAAAAAAGGTCAGCAATATCATCGATGGAAGAAATCGGTAGACGTGTCGTGCATTTGATACCTTAGATTAGTATCAATATCCTAATATTAATGAGATTTTTAATTAAAAATGTCATGTCACAATTAAAATGGCAGGGACCCACATCACAGTTACGCATTATTCAAGTTTCAAAGCAAATTTTTTAATAGGTCTTTTGACCAAGTTATAGATGATGGTATTTGATTCAATTTTATTTAGGACTCCATTTTTTGCATGTTGAAAAGTTGTTTTTCTTCAAATGATCGGGGTCAAACCTACACTTAGATATTTTCTAAATTTTTATTTTCCGTGTTGTTGGCATCAAAATGTTTGACATTTACATGTTTATTTGTCAACACAAGAAAATTGACTGGTTTGATTTGTTCAAATGATATTTCCATGCGGATTAACTTGTGACAGTCTAATATTTAGACTGTTTCTGTTAGTCAAATGACCAAAAATAGACTAATGGAGTGATCAAGTTGTAAGTAAATTTAACTTAAGTGACTAGTCTAAAACAAAATTAAGGCACTGCTTGACAAAAGTTGATAACTGTGTGGTTCAAAAGTTGTAGATTCCATTAAATATGTGGTTAAAATTAATTGTCAATTTTTACTTTAACCTTCTAAACTTCCCCAAACATACCTATCTAAGAGATGTGTGATGATATTCAATTATTGTGACAGATTTATTGAAAAATATGGTACCCACATAATTGTTGGGTTGAGCATAGGTGGTCAAGATGTGGTACTAGTAAGGCAAGACAAATCTTCCAACATGGAGCCATCACACTTAAAGAACCACTTGGATAACCTTGGTGATCAGTTGTTCAATGGGGCATGCACTTTTTCTCCACATCAATGCAAAACCAAAGAACAAAAAAACAAGGTTCCTTCCTTTTTTTGTTCTTTCGTTTTTTAAAGAGAGTTTTCCGTTGAATCGGATGACACTGAATTATATTTTTATATTTCGCAATCCAGGCGCCGCAGGCTTTCAATGTTTTTGATCCACAACCAAATCATCTCGGAAATTTTGCATCCATCACAGCAAAAGATGTAGGTTTGATAATCGTATATAGGCTTTTCTCATCTTTTTGCTAATGTCTGCTTGTGCTTGAATGAATTGATTGTTGTTCCACTTATGAAAAGGGAGTTTCGTGAAACTCTTGACTTATGGATCCCTTAATAAATGCTATAGGAAGTATTTGGTTTTGTCCCTGTCAAGCACTTAGTGTATTGTATCCCTTCTTACTATGTTAAGGGGCTTAAATGACATATTTGGTACATTGGGATATACAAAATTGAACGGGAAGGCAAATATGTAAAAGATGGTTTATTTATTTATTTATTTGTTTATGTTATGAGTCTTATCTATTTATTTATGCTAAAACGTTTTACAAAAATAGTTATTTTGTGTGTGGTATATTTGTGATTAACAAAGTGATATTGTGAAGCAAAACTTAGTATTACATTTCTAAAATAGAATTGGCTAAGATTTGGGGATGCCAAAATATCTTGCCCGGGTTGCCCCTTATTGTTTCCCAGAATTCTCCTATCACGCAGCAAATTGTTTTATTATTATTTATTTTAAATCATATTTTAAAATAAACATAATAAAATTTTAAAATAATTAAACGGTACAATTAATGGAGATTTTTTAATTCCTATCCGTGCTTGCTTCTCGAAAATCCCAGTCAGGACGGGGGTTATAATGGCTGCCCCGACTCTTCCCATTGTCATTCTTAAAATGTAGCATGCAAATTTCATATATCCCAATTTATTGTTAATTGAAAGAATGTCAACAAAGTATTTGGATGTTCTGCAACATATTTAGCTCTATCTAGTTTAATATACAAAATATGCAGCGAAGAGGGGAAAAAACTTGACCAAATTGTATTGAATGGTATTTGCAGGGTATCAGTGTTATATGTTCAAAGCGGGGAGGAGACTTGTCAACTACTACACATTGTGAATGGCTTCTTACAGTTCCATCAATGCCCGATGCAATTCACTTTAACTTCATTCCCATCACTTCTCTATTAAGAGGAGTTCCAGGCAAAGGGTTCTTATCACATGCTATCAATCTTTATCTTCGATGTAAGTTCTAGTGGGCCAAATTAAATATATGTTCTGGAGACAATTCTTGTAGAATACGTAAGAAGCAAGACATATAGATTGAAATTATCGTGTCTTTTACAAATACGAGGTGGCTCTATATTGAAAAATTGAGGAAAATTACTAGTCTTAGTTTATTGTTTCAAATTCTTCCATTAAACATATATTGAAACATGAAGTTTGGTGCACAGATAAGCCTCCTATAGCTGATTTGAAGTACTTCTTGGATTTCCAAACTCATAGGATTTGGGCTCCTATTCACAATGACCTACCACTAGGCCCAACTAGAAACAGGACAATGCAAGCACCTGCTCTACATTTCAAGTTGATGGGTCCCAAACTCTATGTAAATACTACTCAGGTAAAACATTGATGTATCTCGTGTTTTTCCTTCCTTGATGTAGTTGCTTCATGATATGGAGTTATGACTAAATGTTACTGAATTCCGATCAGGTCACAGTCGGGAAAAGACCGGTTACTGGAATGCGATTGTACCTTGAGGGCAACAAGTCCAATAGGTAATGCAAATTGTCAATATTATCTTAGGTGGTCAGTTTGCATACGCAGACAGATACCCTGTCATAAATGGTAAAATGGACAATATTTTAACTTCTAGTGTCCAGTTCACCTACTAAATACGAGATAAATGCTACTCAATGGTTAAATTCATGACTAAAAGAAAACTGTTTAACAGGTTAGCAATACATCTCCAGCACTTATCGAACTCTCCAGTTCTGCTCCGAGATAAGCTAAGTGATGCTCTAACTTGGCGTGGATCGGAAGAAATAGCTGACGATCGATACATTGAAGCTATTCACTGGAAAAAGTTTTCACACGTGTGCACAGCCCCCGTGAAATACGATCCAAGATGGGCAACCGGGGAAGAAGATGTTGCGTTCATCGTAACTGGTGCTCAACTTTACGTAAAGAGGCATGGTACAAAGAGTGTTTTGCATCTGAGGCTGTTATACTCTAAAGTGTCCGATTTTTTTGTTGTACAATCTAACTGGATGCAGTGGGCATCAGACCATATTTCCATAAAGTCTGGTTTCTTCTCATCAATAAGTACTTCATTAACTGGCAATGTAGTGAAGGAGAAGGCACAACCAGTGAACGTGGATTCTGGGGTGTATCCAACAGGGCCACCAGTGCCCGTGCAAACGCAGAAGCTCTTGAAATTTGTGGATACATCGCAAATGTACAGAGGGCCACTGGATAATCCCGGACATTGGCTAGTGACAGGAGCAAAATTAGACTTGGAAAAGGGAAAAGTATGCCTGCGCGTAAAATTCTCGTTATTGAACATATGTTCAAGATAAAGAAGACATTGAATCGGGGAAGAGATTGCAAAAAAATCGACTCAACGTTCTACGTGAAGGCCTGTATGATTAATGACTATATTTAAAGTGTTATAGCAGATAAATCCAGTGAGTTCGGGGATATGTATGTAGCTTATAGTGTAAATAGGAAATATCATCTAGTATGAATCCCATATCGTTGATTCTTTATTTGTTCGATTTCTTTTACGACTAATGAGTACAATTTGTTGGTGTTTGTTTTTAATTACGCCCTGTTTGGATCTTTTGAGAATAATTGTAAAAAAATGATTTTTTTTGGGAGAATGTAAGATTAAAGAACGAGTTTGGAAAAAAAAAGAAAAATTTGAAATTGAAAACCAAGCAAGGTCTACCAATCTCAATTAGGGGTAAAAATGGGCCTGGACTGTACGGAGGCTTGATCCTCGCCTAGGTCCAGGTAGGCCTGCCTTCCACTACCATGGGGAGGGGTTGGGCCCAGAGTTAAAAGCTCATTGGCCAGCAGCATGTATAAGGGCACGTTTGGTACATAATATTAGATCAGATAAGGATTATAAATTAATCTTATCTAGTGTTTGGTACAATCAGTGTCTGGATTACATTAATCCATGGTGCTGATCCTCCTTTATTCAACCATATAAAATTTAATACGCTATTTAAGATGAGTTTATGCCATACTATTTATTTATCATTTTATAAATTAAGAAAGGTGAGTTAAAATTAAATTACATAAATTTACTTAAAAGTAAATAGGAGCCAAAATTTCCATTTATAAATAAAAAACTAACTTATAACTAAAAAAACTCTTGTAAGTAAAAGTTACTTATAAACAACAGATCAATTATAAGTAAAAAATTCACCTATAAATTTAAAATTTGTTTGTGAGTAAAACTTATGTACAAGTAAAAAAAATTCATTTTATAAGTACAAAATTTGTATATGAGCAAAAAATTACTTATGGGTAAAATTCATTTATAAGTATAATAATTACTTATATAAGAAGGAAAATGTTTTGTAAGATATAAATGACTTTATAACTAAATATTTACATATAAGTAAAAACCACTTATAAGACAAAAAATCATGTTTATGTAAAAAAATGTTACAAGTAAAAAAATACTGCAAATAACTAAAAATTTCGCTTATATATATAAAAAGTAATTAAAAGTAAAAATCACTTATAAGACAAAATTCACTTATAAGTTATAATTATAAAATTTACATATAAGTTAATAAATTCAATTCTAAGTAAAAAAAAAAAGAAAAAATCTTATAAAATGATTCAGGAATCTTGCTAATTCACCTTAATATAATCCCCCTAATTGTATCCTCCCTAATACTACCCTCATGGTTGGATGAAAAGATTCAGGACTCTTGCTATAATTTTCTTTTTATTTTTTTGGAAAATTTCACTTGTACAGAACTATTCATTCTGTTAAAATGACAGATTACTCACATGGGGGTGGGCCCCATGTGAATAAAATATTATTATAAAAAATGGGGCCAACCCCCCATGTGTCTATTCTGGTATTTTTACAGAAATAAAATTTCTGTAATTGCAGCTTTTGCTCTATTTTTTTTTATATAGTTACTTTCTTTGTTTTTATTTTAAGGAGGGGACAATTATTTTACGCGGCCAAAATGGTTAAAGGAAGAGTTTTGCTATATTCTCAAATGCTAAGGGTAAATAAGTAACATTTTGCAAAGGTTGGAGATGAAAAGTGCCAAAAAAAAAGAAAAAAAGAAAAAAAAGAAACCCTTATTTTCTCCTATAATTGTCCCAATTTATTTACTGATTTAATTTCACAAAAAGAAAAAAAAAAGATTATCATCGTTGAGGAGTTCTGTCCTTTTTTTTTTCCCCTTCAAAAGCAAGCGTGTAATCTTATTCACCAATACCATGCATTATAACTTCGTCAATTAAGCAAAGGGATCCCTGAGACCATGACATTGAAATTGGTAAAAAAAAGAAAAAAGGTAAACCTAATCAAGGTATGAGCAATTCAGTTCGCTTCATGTTGCACGAAGGAACAAACTAATGGAGGAAAATGTGATCGTATTTTGAAATTTTAGCCAATATAGCACCTTCTTGTGCATATAAATTGAAGTATAATTTGATTACGCCAACCCTCTTGTCCCTAAAATGCTCCTATTTATTGTCGTACAACTTTTAAGGACGCACATAGTTTGGTTATTCTTTTGTGAACACTATTTCACATTTTCTCATACTATTTTTAATATTGTCCCCCATTAATGTGTTTATTTTATAAATGAAGAACACAATCAAAAATTCGTTAATTTTATTTATACCAAGTATTCAATAATTCATTAATTTGAGATAGAATACCGAACAATCAACAAAATTTAGATAACTTTCAACGAGCATTGAACCAACCTTTTGTGTCAATTAATTTTCCCTTTTCACATATCTTCCCAGCAGCCCAGCTAACAGTCAGACATAACATAGTTGATCAAGTTGCAAAACTACGGATATACGACGACATATCGACACGTGAATTTCAAAAAGGTGTGGACACGTGAATTTTTTTAGAATTTTAAATTCATATATTGTCTTTATTTTTATAAATTTTAATATAAATAATATCAGATGACATATCATACATGTGAACTAAATGTGTCTCTAAAGTATGTCTCAAGCATCGATAATTTAAAATAAAATATAAAAAAGAAATAGGACAAATGTGTCGTCTATTGTGTATATGTCCTTAAATGTCCGAGAAGTGTCGGACACAAAGACGGACACACTGTCCTATTAGGATTATCCGCGCATCATTAATAAATCAGGTTCGACTAAAAAGAAGTCAAGGTGGGAATCTAGGAGCCTCCAGCTACCATTATTCAGAGCTTTGAAGCACAAATGATGTACTGTATTGGCCTTCCGCTTCAATTCATTTGTCATTTTCCCATATATATATATATATATTTTTTTTTTTTTTTAATATTTTCTTGTCTAAATTTTGTTTAGAATCAATTCTTTATGTAACTAGGATAAACTACTGGGTAGAAGCATATTTATATTTCTACACAAAACACAAGTTGATACCAAGCACATGTGGCTCCTTTTTAGATACAAACAGGAGTCTTTGTAATCAATTTACAGTTTATAGTTAATATCAAACACTCGAGGCATAATATAACAACTGGCTAGAAACGATGATTTCTCGGGTGAGAAGGCATTTGCAGAGACCTTCTAAGGCTGGACTTGTCCTTCTTGATCTGGACTAGCTTGTCGTATACACACCATGGGAAACTGATATAATGATCCCGATTCAGTCCCTCATTGTANTTTTTTTTTTTTGAATATTTTCTTGTCTAAATTTGGTTTAGAATCAATTCTTTATGTAACTAGGATAAACTACTGGGTAGAAGCATATTTATATTTCTACACAAAACACAAGTTGATACCAAGCACATGTGGCTCCTTTTTAGATACAAACAGGAGTCTTTGTAATCAATTTACAGTTTATAGTTAATATCAAACACTCGAGGCATAATATAACAACTGGCTAGAAACGATGATTTCTCGGGTGAGAAGGCATTTGCAGAGACCTTCTAAGGCTGGACTTGTCCTTCTTGATCTGGACTAGCTTGTCGTATACACACCATGGGAAACTGATATAATGATCCCGATTCAGTCCCTCATTGTAGCAACCCCAAAATTCATGATGATAAGTGACATGATACCAAGCCGATGCTTTTGCATCCATATCATCCGATTCGCTTCCTTTCTTGAACATTTTCCTAGCTTCACTCCTCAATGACCTCACAGCTGTACCAATGGCGTCTGCATCTCGTCTTCGATCAAAACTCTTTGACGTCTTCATAATACCACCACTCAGTATTTCAGCCTCAGTTTTTATGCCATAATAATCCATCAGATTACCCAATTTGTAATCGTACTCAGTTTTGTAGTGAAAAGCTTCGTCAATGTAATCTTCAAACCCATCCACTTCCATGTCGGGATCATATGACTTCCTTGCCACTTCGCGGGTAAAAGATTGAATAGGAGCCGTTTCAGGGGCGATGTTTATCACATCTCTAAAAAGCTTTCCGATCACACGTTCAGATTCATAGGTTGTCTTGTCGGGCTTTTCCATGAAATCTGGATATTCTTTCACACGTAAATGAGGTGGTATTACTGCAGGAACACCGGTTTTTGAAAAGTCAACAGCAATGGAGAACAGCTTTGCCAACTCTATACAAGGCTCACTCAATGCCATGTCCGGTTCTTTATCAGCAAAGACAGTATGTGCATTTGCAATAATTCCTAGACTATCGTTCACAATATAGTTGGTGAAGTACTCCTCGACTTCCTGTATCACAGGAAAAGTATAAACTGTTGAAATCACGAGGATATTCAGATTGGCAAAGCATTGTACATGTAAATTTGCAATAACTCAACATGTAACTGTGTATGAGATCACAACAAAGAGTGCTCTGCCTGCCACGCCGAATCAAAGCATGTGAAAGCTAGAAGAATGTTCATTTATTTTATGATATAGCTTCTTGACTTGAACATGCAGTTGTACTTTCAAGGCTTCGCAAGTTTCATCGAAATGGAAGAATAACACTAGTCAAATAATAGAAACAATACTAATCTGTTAAATCAAACAGGGTTCATGCTTCATAGATGCTATCATCAGTTAGATAACAAATAATTTCCCAAATTTTAATTGTCTCGCTATACGTTGACTTTCACAAAATATGATCAAGCCACACCACTACAATTTTAAGTTCCATGTTCTTGGGATATGGGAAGGGTTAATGCTTTTACACCATGATAGGTATTAAAGGATGTTTAGAATCTATAATCGAATACTCAGTTAAGAAATGAGATGGGAGACAGAGAACCTAGAAAGTAAAAGGTGGAACTCAAGGAAGTATGGTCTTTTAGCAATAATTCCCCAAACGAGGAAAATGAGATCAACATTGTTAGAATTACGGTGTGACCTGAATTCTAATTTGGAGTTCTAATTAAAGTC